GGTGATGTGGGTTGTTGTTGTTTTTATTAACACCTTGTAACTCAAATGCCCACCACCCAATTACAAGCAAAGATGCCCTTATTAAAGGGCTAAACACTCAACCCTTCAAGCAGAATTGTCAGAACTCAAGCTATACTTCTGGGACCCTCAACACATTCTCCAGAATCAGAGACTGTCAGACTGGACAATCCTGATATTGTTAGGCAGTTTCTCCCACTTTATTTGTCATTTAAAAATGATGTTACATTTAATTTATAGTGAGTTAAAACAATAAAAAGCTGCTTTTGTTTAAGAGTAGAATTCAATCCTATTAATGTTGTGGCTGAGAAAGCAGCACGCCTAAATATCTTGAGGAGACAAAAATATTAAGCCACAGGCATCTCATTCAATAAAAAATGAGTCAGAGACGTTAACATCAGAACCAGTTTCCGAATTTCCAGAATGAGCATCTCTGTGTTAAGCCAGGATGTCAGAAAAGCCTTCTGTCATCATAATCAAAGGACCTGTACGGCTTTTGATCTGAGTAAGCTTAACTTCACAAGAAAAATGTCAGCGGCAGAAAAGGCTAAAATGACAGTCGCAGCCCTACACAAAAGAAACTCCTTTTATCACCTTGAGTAGCATCAGCAATGTCTAGCGGTATAATAAAATAAAATATTTTTTGGATACTGTCCAGCGCTCATTACTGGTTGTATGGGATGTGAATGTTAAAATATACTAGCAACAGAACCCTATAAAGACATTTTTTGGGTAACCTAAAATTTCTCAGTTGAAGGGCAGACTCAAATGCTGTTGAAGAATTTAGGACTAATATTTGCCTGAAAAGGCTTAGCACTGCTAATAATTTACACTAGAATTTGCTGTTTTATGGTGCATTTCACTGTAGTATTGTGCACACTGCAAACATTTTGTGTACATGTGTGTACTTATATATGCATATATGGTAATTATAATTTGGAGACCTGAAATATTGTCATAGTTACAGCTTTTCATTTCTTTGAAAGTTCAGCTATATTTAAATTTAGTCTGAGATACTGTTGAGCTGGCTAGAATAAATAATGCAAATCCAACCCTGTCCTTTACATTAAAGGGGCATTAAGATTGTGACATAATGCTGCTCCCCCACACCAGAAAACCCAAAAAGGTAGAATTCAGGTAATAACACCTCACCATCTTAGTTACAAATTACTTCCATTGAGAGGTACATCAAGCTGTGCTGTCTTAAAAAAAAGTCCTTCCTTCAGCTGTCACTGTGTGCAGGTGTGCACAGAAACATATTTGTATGTATATATTGGTTATTGCAATTCTTCTAGTTTTCTTCATTTTTATTTGCTGGGTAGATTTGTTCATTCTTTTGTTAAGTGTGTGGGAGTATTTAGTGCAAGGATGCCATGGTGGCATTCACACAGATACCATGGTAGTCATCCATATTACACGCATGTTGCACAGTTTTGTGTCTTTAATTGTCTAAAGGATTGTCACATTACAATGAAATATGCATTGGTAACAAGCAGATTGTAAATTAATATGGAGGAAATGCCCATTTCATTCTGGACCTATTAACTGGATATTTATATTATGTAATACAATTTATTTTGCTAGAGCGCATACTTAGCTAGCCCAGTGACAAAAGACAGACAGCCCTCAGATAGTGGCCTAGAATCTGCTTTTTAAAGAAAGCCAGTGACAAATTAAAACAAGAGAGCCCAACGGTGTGACCTCATAAGAATAGCCATACTGGGTCAGCCCAAAGGTCCATCTAGCCCAGTATCCTGTCTTCCAACAGTGGCCAATGCCAGGTGCCCCAGAGAGAATGAACAGAACAGGTAATCATTATATGAGCCATCCCCTGTCACCCATTCCCAGCTTCTGGCAAACAGAGGCTAGGGCCACCATCCCTGCCCATCCTGGCTAATCGCCATTGATGGACCTATCCTCCATGAACTTTCTAGTTCTTTTCTGAATCCTATTATAGTCTTGGCCTTCACAACATCCTCTGGCAAAGAGTTCCACAGACTGACAATGTGTTGTGTAAAAAAATACTTCCTTTTGTTTGTTTTAAACCTGCTGCCTATTAATTTCATTTGGTGACCCCTAGTTCTCGTGTTATGAGGAGTAAACACCACTTCCTTATTTACTGTCTCCACACCAGTCATGATTGTATAGACCTCTATCCCCCCTAGTTGTCTCTTGTCCACACTGAAAAGTCCCATTCTTATTAATCTCTTCTCATACGGAAGGCGTTCCATACACCTAATCATTTTTGTTGCCCTTTTTTGAACCTTTTACAATATCATTATATGTCTTTTTTGAGATGGGCCGACCACAGCTGCACAGTTTGCTTTAAGTATAGTGCTGGTGCTTCTTTTGGTAAATTTTATTGTCCTGTCTTGAGTACCATGTTTGCGGTCAAGTGGGAAAAAAAAAGAAATAAGATTTAACTACGTTCATGACTCCTGCTGTTGGCTTCATCAATTTGTCACTTTTTCTTTATACCAACTACTACAGCGAGTGTTCTGTCTTCACGCATTGGTTTCCTCCCTGGTAAATAAAACTTTTCTGGAGTTAATCAGGGTCATTCAGCTGGCTGATATTTTTTGAAAAAATTGTAACCTTTCAGTGAATGTTTGAATGTAGGTAAATTTAATTGACATATAGCAGCATCTCCAATACATCAATGTGCCACTTTATCTTGGGGAAGACTTTTAGGAGCTAACAGCTTCCTACCCATTGTACAACGACTCTCAAAGTATATTCTATGCTTCCCTGCCTCATGGAATTCAAGCGAAGAATAGAAGATGATGGCAGCTGAGCTGCTTGGGGGAAAAAAAATCACTTTTATTATTCTAGGGTCCAAGGACAATTTATAGACCATGATATAACAAAAAGTAGTGTGAATCCTTCACAATTCTCACTACATATAGGTTCAATAAACATGCACACAAAGGGGTGATGTAAGCCCATCAGTTAAAAAAAAAATGTTCAGGGACCATGCAGAGCTCTTGAAAACCTGGGCAGGCTCCTGCTCAAGATTGACTCATGGTGGTATGTATTTAAAGTGAAACTGTAACTGTGACATCATCATTTTCCTTGGACTTGCCCTGGTGTGTAACGAGCAGTAATAGCTGGATTACCTTTGAGGTGACTTATTAGAGGGGGAGTTGTCTGCTTAATATTATACTGCAATTGGAGTGGCTTCATTAAAAAAAAAGAAAAGAAATAAAACTCAGGAGCTTAACCATGACCCTATCCAAAGACTGACGGGGGAGGGGGCTTTTAATATAATTGAGTTCAGTATAATTGAGAGTTCATACAGCGTTTCGCATCATATACATAATCTGAAGGGAAAATGCTGTTGGGTCTTGACTTAGTGTGCTGCAGGCATGGCTGAGGAGTGAATACAAAGGGCCTTTAATCCCCCAGAGCATGTCTATGCAGGAACAATTTAGGATTGTCCACTGAGCACTAGGCTGAAGGCTAAGCTAACACCCCAAGCAATGCTCCATAACTTCAGCTATCTTGGAAGCATGGCCAGTTCCATGGGTCCCTGCATGTCGGCTCTTTCTAGTTTTGGGTGAGGGAGTGCACTGCTCCTCTTTGGAGCAGTAGGAAGGTATGCTGCAGTGTGGAGTGCTCCCCAAACAGGATGGTTCAAAGATCCTCTGAGTGCTACAAACATCATTCTTCCCTTCTGCTCCCTCCCTCCTCCTTATCCCCTGATTCACATGGCCCAATGCAGCAAGGACAGGATTTTACCATTACTGAGGAGGCCCAGGAAGTGTGTGAGTGTTTTTCCTAAAATTTTAACTTGAGAGTATTAAAACAGTAAAGCACAGAAGTGCAGATTCTTTAATAATCCTGTCCTCAGGCCAAATCACAGTTACCTTCAGTTAACAGCTAATATGTGCAGTGGGAATTTTCAGGAATCTAAATGTTCCCAACTATTAACGGCTGCATTTTGCTATATTGTTACTTTTCAATATCACGCAGAGGTGTAGACAGGAAAAGTTGAGGTCTCCGGATCATGAAAGGTAGCGATGCATGCGTAGGGTTGCATATTTCATTTGTAATAGTTCATCCCAGCGTCAGGCTCTTGGTGAAGAAGCCCTAGAATGTATAACTGGTCTGCTGTATTAGCAGGAGTGCTCTGTTGAAGATGGCTCATTCCATTGTTACCAGAGTGAATGGGTTAAAATTTGAATGTGGCTAAATTTGTCAAAGCCCCTGGATAAGATATGAAAGATCTAAGCACTGATGTAAAACTCCACCCCTTGACATTGACTATATTAGTACGTATGTTCATGTTTCCCAGCATAGACAGGTAGTTACTTTATAGAACATCGGTGTTTAATACCGTATAGAGACAAGTCATAGGACTTTGCTTGCACGGTGTTTTCAAGTACCAAAAATGCAGTGAAAACACAGTACGAAGCTCCCCAAAAGCATGTTGCTCCACAACAGAATGACTAACCATTACATGCAAGTTTCTCACTATCTTCCACCACTAATTGCGGCGTGCTCTCCTGCAGCCAGCTAATACAGCAAAAAGATTTTGAAGGTGCTTGATTCTATGGACAGAAAACTAAAGCTGGAAAAGCTGGAGTAATGAAATCTCCAAATTGGGATCCAGTTTTCAGAGATGTGGACTAAGGGTGAAATCCAGTCTTGTGCACTAGTCCAGAAGTCCAATGCACCATTCAAGCTCAATATTGAGAGCTTAAGAAGTAAGTGGTCCATAAGCATTGTGTGGGGTTTCTGCACATGGGTGAGTTTCACCCTAATTAAACTCTATAGGAGAAGATAGTGATAGCATAGCTTTTAAAAAGTAACTAGTACTGTTTCATTATTTGAACAGAAAATCAAGCTGTATTTGAGCTGAAATGGATGCATCATGGATTTTCAGGGACATAAAGTGCCTTCTGGTGTTCGAAGAAATAGAAAAAAACCCCTCTGCAATGCTGCAATACACAAAAGTTTATTTTTAAGATCTTTTTCTTTTCTGAAAGCAAAATATGATAAAACCTAACAGCAATGTATTTTGTACAACAAAAACAGTTTTTATATGAGAACAGACAATCCATGAAGAGTTTTTAAGTCTTAGAACTGTTTCCCTTTTTTATCATGCTTTCTTGTGGTCAACAAAAAGTTGTCACAGAAGATGTCATGGCAGTCAATCAGTGTGGTGTTTCCCCTCAGATCCTTGTCAGCTGGTGCCACAGACTGGAGGGAAGGATACTTTCTACTTTTTCCATCACAAAATTTAAAGGGGCGAAGAGAGTGCTGAGGAACTGCAAAGAAATCAGATATACAAGTAGATCAAAATCATGGAGACAACAGACTGTTACAGAAAGCTGTGCAATTGAGGTGTTGTAGACCCTCCAAGAAAATCCTCTGGGTGACACTAATTGAATCATTTGTTTTTAAAGTCTTTAGGCCCAATTTTGCTCTCAGATGTACATTGTCCATTTCTCAGTTTGTAGTAAATAAAGCAAGTGTTCCATTTTTCATAGATATTACTAACGAGTTAATGCACAATAAAGGCATAAATCTAGAATCTTAGATCCATGCCCAGATACAAGCCACTGTAGGCTTGATCCAAAACCCACTGAAGTAAAAAGGAGTCTCTCGTATATGGGCACAAATAGGTACATTCAACTAACTACGGGAACACAATTTTGTCTTCAGAATCAGACCCATAATGGTTAAATATTATCTAAGCATATTCAGGCCCCCTTGGCTTTCTCTTCTAGAATTTATCTTGACTTGCTCTTTCCTTTAGAAAAAAGAATGTAATAGTTTGAGAGAAGTATCTGTGAGCTTGTCTTCACGTACAGTGCTGCAGCAGCACTGGTGCAGCTGCACCCAGGGGGGCTGGAACAGGTTTTTTGGTGGAGGTGCTGCTGATGGAAACCATGTATTTGGTGTTTGTTATTACTACTCCAAACGAATGAGTGCAGCAGCACTCCTAGTTCCAACAGCAAAGGCTGAGCTGCTGCAGCTCTGTTGATGGGAGAAGCTTTCCTATCGACATAGAGTGTCTACACGGTGGGGTTAGGTCGGTATAACCATGTCACTCAGGGCGTGGATTTCTCACACTCTTGAGCAACATAGTTATACCAATACAGGTCTGAAGTGTAGACCTGGCCTGTGTATTACTGCTATGAGAGGCTTACATGCCCAGATCAGATGAATAGTTACCATTTTATCACCGGGGGGGGGGGAGACATTTGAAAATAAAAAGGGTCTCACTTTCAGAGGGTGGGTGCTAAACATTTTCTGAGAATTAAGCCCCACTGAAGTGTCTCAAGCTGAGTACCTCAGAACTGAGGAATTCCATATCTTGAAAATGTTACCCCATATATATTAATTGTGCTATATATTTACTTCAATCTGTATTACGTACAGATGCTATGGGCCTCCTATAGGTGCCTGGAATAGAATAGACTATTATGGTATATTGTATCTGTGCAGATATTACACATATGCAAAGTCAGCCATCCCTAGATTAAGAACAATGTTGCTTCCAGACATATGCTGGTTGACATAACATTGCCAAAGAATATAGTTCTTTTATGGTATCAATTAGCAAATATCTGCAGGATGTGTTGTTGTAGCATGCTGGTCCCATGATCTTAGAGAGAGACATGGTGGGTGATGTATTACCTCACCCAAATATTTGCAAGCAGTTTCATGTTTCAGAATGTACCATATGTGATGAGCACAGTACACGCTAACTCTGACATGAGAGAACTGCAATCCGTGGGCTTTGCTTGGCTGTATTCTGCCATAGTCCCATCTCCCCTGATGAGAACAAAACATATATGTTTGTATACGGCAAATTCAAATACCACTCTGCGTGTTTTGATTTTTAAAAAATCAGATCAGTCTGAATGCTGCTGAATTGGAGGATGCTGCTGAAACCCAGGTTACATACAGTAAACTCAACTCAATTAAAGGCTACAGTACAGAATATAAAATGTACAGGTCCAGTCTTTTGGTTGAGACATATCTCTATTTTTTATGTTTCCACTACTGTGTGATTTTTGCCTTGAAGATATCGTTGCTCCCAGAAATATGCTTGATATGTTTGATATCATTTAGCCAAAGATTACAATCCCTTTAAGGTATCAGGCAGTAAAACAGCTGCAAGCAGTTTCATGTTTATCAGACAGTGTTTTGTGAAGAGTTTATTTTAACTGAAAACATATATGCTGTATATATTTTAACTGTATTAATAAAATGTCATAAGTACTTGGTCTGCATCATATTTGAGGCTGTACCTTCTCAAAGATTCTCCTAGAAAAGACATTACCCCAGGAACAACTTGTGCATTATGGATGATATCAGTGACTAGTGACAAGACAGAGTCACAAACATGGCCCTTGTCTCACTCCAAGGAAGCTAGGAGACTGTACCAGGCAGGTGTGGCTGTGAAGGTCAAGCTGAGTTATATAGACCAGTGCTGACCAAATGTGGTATCAAAGCTTCTGTCAGAGAGGTCACCGGAAATATCCAAAATGCCTTAGCACTGTGTGGGGTGATTCTGTCCAGACTGTATTTCCTCTTTTGTGAACAACTATTTGAAGCAAATGAATCTGCCCTCCTCCCTACCCGTCCTGGAAAATGAAAAATCTCACTACAGGAAACTTCAAACTTTGCTTTTAAAAAAGCATCCCACATAACTAGAGGAAAGTAAATGCGGTAACTGCTGTAAATTACATTTGATTAATTTTTTAAATCAATGACATTATAGGCACTTAATTTTTTGCTTTTTTGGTATTCACAGTACTTTTGTTTCTGAAGTAACTTTAGATGTATCCTGTAGCTGAAACTTAGCAATTTACCTGTATCTAGAAGTACACCGAGGTACTACTCCAGTGGAGAAAGTGTGTCAAGTGAGAGAGATCTAGAAAATATTATATTTAAACATATGGGGTGAAATCCGGATCATACTGAAGTCACTGGCAAAACTCCCATTGACTTCAATGGGGTCAGGATTTCACTCCTGGATTTGTGTTGTCCCACGAGGGACACTTGCTAAGAGACTTCTACCAGCTCACAGCAGTCAAATTAATCAGTAAGAGTGAGGGTCCCAGAGCCTTCCTTCTGTAATACCCAGCTCCTGCTCCACTACAGTGATCTCAACCCATGAGCCACAAGGAGTGAGTTTCCAAACTCAGGCCTCCCTTACAGCATCTTGGAGCTCTAACCACTAACCTTCAGGGAAGTCTGCTCAGTGTGTTCAGTGTTTCTGATCGGTTCCTCTCCCCAGATGAAATAAAGAACCCAAATTCCAGCCACAAACACTGTAAAACATGCCAGCTCCTCTCCAGGCCGGTACAAGGAAGTTTCGCGCCCTAGGTGAAACTTCCACCTTGCGCCCCCCCCCCCCCCTCCTCCCGCCCCCCCCCCCCCCCCCCCGCAGCCCTGCACCCGCCCCCCGCCCCTCCTCCGCCCTGAGGTGCCCCCCCCGCTGTGCGGCAGCTCCCCACCCCAGCTCACCTCTGCTCTGCCTCCTCCCTGAGCACGCCGCCCCCGCTCTAATTCTCCTCCCAGGCTTGCGGCGCCAAACAGCTGATTGGCGCCGCAAGCCTGGGAGGCGGGAGAAGTGGAGCGGCGACCACGCGCTC